CCATTCTCCAGACTCTTTCTCTACGGGAAGGACCTGATGACTGTCATGGGAAGGAAGAGACTGGGATGTTATGGTTTATATCTTGTATCTACCTGTTATGGTTTGTATATAGCTGTCCCCTCAGACCTCATGTAAGTTATGGGGCAGATGTGGCTGGAGGAGCAAGTGGCTTGAGGGGTGGGGCCAGAGGACCAGGACGGGACCTGAGGGGCGGGACCAGAGAGGTGCAAACCATTAAACTGGCTAGCCTATGCTTTCAGACAGACATGTAGAGGGTCATCCTGGACACGGTGGCACCCTAGCCTCTCCTCCAGTGTCTTGAAACCTCCAGCAACTGTGAACTAAATAAACCTTTTTTTCTCTCATTTTGAGTGTCAGGTATTTGTTCCAGCAATGAGAGAAGAGTAACTAAGTGAAGGGCCTGATGACTGGCTTGGCAAGGAAGGGACTGGGGTGTTATGGCTTATATCTTGTACCTACCTAAAGCTTCATCAAGTAATAGATGGGGTTTTTCAGAGGTGGCTGGATGAAGGTTGTGTGGTTATTGAATTAGTTCACTGATTAGCGTAGGGCTATGGTTTATGTCTCATTGAACATCCAACCCCTCCCACCCCCCAGCCAAAGCTTCATGTAGTCATAGGCTTCTAGAGATTGTAATTAATTCATGATCCAATGCTGGCATTACAGGTGTGAGTGCTGCTGGGATTATGAGTGTGAATGCTACACCTGCCCTGGGACAGGTAGCCAGAATGAAACATAGGGAAAGGAGAGAGGTTTGCTCTTTTATTCTTGCTGTTTTGCTGTTTTCCATCTCCATGAATTGCTCCCTTCTGCCATGTGCCACTCTGCCTTGGAGCCTGCTGATTATCGACTGAAACCTCCACAAACTCTTAGCTGAATAACCGTTTCCTTCCTTAATTCTGCATGTTGGGTATTTTGTCCCAGCAATGAAAGAAAAGTAACCTAGACATATAGTTCTGGGTGTGCATAACAGGAAGGGCACTCTGGGTATGAGTGGCACCACCTAAAAGTGGCGATCCTAAAAGGGAATAAAGGGAGAGGCAGGCTGCTGCTGTTGCTGCTCTGGTTGCTTCCTGTCTGCCATACCATGAACTATTTCTCTTCTGCAATGCCCCTTTGCCATTGAGACCATCTCTCTGGACTGAAGCTTCTCTAAACTGTAAGCCAAAGTAAATCCTTCCTTCTTTAATGTTAGGAGTCAGGTATTTTGTCTCAGCAATGAAAAAAGTGATTAAGGCAGGAGGTAAGGGTTGAGTGGGTAGAAGGGAGACTCCAACTGTGTCTGTGATAATGGTACCACTTTGTAACAATGTATCTACGCAAACATAGAAAGATGACACTTATTCATTCTGGTGGTGGATGATATTTTTAAAACCACTATATTTATTAATTGCTGACTCTTCCATAGTCTGTATGTTTCAAGGAGTGATCTAAGTGATTTGCATATTAAAATTGAGAAGGCTAGTCTGAGTGGCTGAGCCAGCAAGATGACAGTTTTGAGCCCAGACTGATCAATTTAGTGAAGCCTTGTTTCCAAAAATTACAAAGGTATGACAAGGGTTAGGGTATAGCTCAGCAGCATAGCAACTGCCTGGCAAGTGCTAGATCCTAAGTTTGATTCGTAGCACAACTCTACCCCCACAAAAAACTGACAAGAACAAAGACCAAGGCAACATCTACTCATTTACATATTCAGATTTTTTTTAAAAAGACAATTAGAATGACAATTCATGGCAACCACAACACAAATAAAAATGTGAAGAATTCTGTAAGAAGTTCTTAGATATTTTACGAGTAGGGTGAAAGGCTACTCTCTCTCTTTCTTTCTGAGACAGGTTCTTGCTAAGTTGCCCAGGCTAGACTAAAACTTATGATCCTTCCACCTCAGCCTTCAAAATTGTAGATATTACAGGCATGCGTCACCATTCCTGACTCAGATGTAACTTTTAAATAGTTGTTATCATGCACTTAACTTTTCTCAAAATTTTCTGTGTACCTTTTCTACCATGTTACCTCCATCAGTACCTGTATATGACATCATTACCTTTATTGACTACCTTTATGGCATACATTTATAGGACATTGGTTGGCTCTATGAACCTGGTGAGGCTGCAAGGTGGGATGTTGTCTTCTACATTGTTGGTGGGAATTTAAACTGTTATGGCAACCATGGAAATTAGTACAGAGAGTCCTCAAAAAACTAAAAATAGAAATTCCATTTGACAAAGCTATTCCCCTTCTAGGTATTTCCTGAAATAGTTAAAGTCTTCATGCTACAGTGAAACATGCATGCCTATGTTTAAAAGAAGTACAATTCATAATAGCTAAATCTTGGAAATAACCTGTATGCCTATCAATAGATGAATGGATAAGGAAAACATGCATTTATATACAACGGCATTCCACCATCAAGAATACACTGGAGTCATTTGTAGGGAAACGGGTGTACCTAGAGACCAAAATAGATCAGGCACACAAGCTTGAATATCACATGGATTGTCATATATGAGAAACCCAAACTGCAAATGAAGAGTAAAATAAGATAACTGGAAGTAGAGGTATAGATTTTTCTCAAATGGGAAGGGAATCAAGAGCTGGAGAGCGAGGTAAGGATGGAAGGAGATGAAAAAAAGGAATTAATGTGTGGTGTACATGCACCAACTGACACAAGGAATATACAGTACATAGCGCAAACATGCACTAATATTAATAAGTGTTGGGTCAGGCAAAAGACTTTTTTCTGGGAAAGGTGCTGGCACAAGAACCAGGCTTCCCTGGAGCAAGCAGGCAGAGATGGGGAAGTGGCCTTCCTGGAAGAGGGAACCTCATGCCCACTGGCACTGATAGAGGAAAATTCAAGAATTTGAGGACTAGTTCTATCTGGCTGATGACAATTTGATGAGGTACCCAGGTTAGATTGAAAGAGATGTAAGAAGTGAGGACTGAATTTGGAACTCAAGGTGAGATGCTCAAGGCTGCATCTCTGAGCTGCCCTTGAGAGCCAATGCAGAGGCTATGGTTGCAGGAAGTCCCTGGGGCAACTGGTTAACTGGGAGGCCCTGGGGGCCACTGACAGTCAATGGATGTGCAAAAATTGCAGGGGACATGTGTGAATTTACATGTGTGTGTGGGTGCGCGGTGGTCAAACGACTGCATCCACGCCATAAACATTGACTTTGCAAGCACTAAGTACCAGGCAGTGTTCCAGTTGTTGGTGAACATGGAACATGAGTTGGAGTGGAGACATACAGAGAAGATGCACAAACAACTATGTGACATGTAAACAAATGAATCAAATCATACGCATGTTAGTTGGCTGGAAGGACTTTGGAAACAAGGCAGGAAAGGGAGCTGGGGGATGTGCTTGTGGGCGTTATGAGGTGGAGGTGGTGGTGATGGTGGTGATAAGGGTATAGGATCCCTCTCCCTGGGTGATGTTTGAGTGAAAGCCTGAGGGGATGAAACCGAGATTCTGAGTCTGGGGCCAGGAGGTACCCAGTGACACTAAAGGACAGCAAAAGAGGAGGAGTTGGTTAGAAGATGGATGGAGCAGGGGTCTAGCATGCAGGTAAAATTCCTCATCAGTCTGAGGGGAGGGTGAGCATTAAATGAGTCATACTATGTGTCCCACAGCACCACAGGTTTTATCCTGCACAGTATCTGCAATTCCTGAGCCAATCCCACAAGTCTGGTGTCAACTTGCAGCAAGAGTGACAGTAATTAGAGCTGGTACTTATAACGTGCATGGCGTGGGTGTGTTTTTCTGCTATGTGTTACACACTACCAAGCTATTCAGTCCTCATAGTGGCTTTATGAGTGTACACTAGACTCACTTGACAAATGGGCCGAGCCCGTTAAATGGTGAGGACGGTATGAGCTAGGGACAGCTGAGGCCCACTGGCATTTAAGCAAAGAGGAAGAGAGGCAGTCTGTGCTTTGGGCTCTCTGGCCCTTAAAGAAATGGAGTTAAGAGCAGAATGTGGCTAGATAGTCGTGGAGTGGGAGCAGAAGAAGGCAGGGAAAGTTATCGGAACAGCACGGCAGGCTGGACTTGCACAGGGACCCAGTGTGCGGTGCAGGGCGATGGGCACAGCCAGAGATAAATCCTTCAGCAAAGGATACCAGGCCGGGCCACGTGACCCTACAATGGCCTAGCCACCTAGGTGGGAGCAGTCTCCCAAGTGCGGATCTTTCAGGGCCCTGAGGATCTCTGGGGACAATAAAGAAGGGAAAACATGGATCCAAACGCTTCAGCTACCCTTTGCTGGCAACTCAGGCCTAGAGTAGGTAGGGCAGCCCTGTGAGAAAGAAAATCTATTGGGGCCTTCCTTCGCACAAAGCACTTAACTTTCTGAGTTGCCATGCTGCCCTGCTGAAATGTTGGACAGTCTCCGAGATGCTGCTCAGATCCTGCAGAGTTCCAGCCCTGAGATGGCCCCAGCGCAGGCGGCAGGGGCTGTTCCTGGAGCAGGGCCGTTCCTGAAGCCGGGGCCCTGCCCGGGCAGCGCGGAGTAGTCTCCGCAGGTGCAGCGCAGAAGGAGGGCTGGCGGGAGTCTCCGGAGTCCAGGCCCGCGACCCTCCGTGCGCGGGCCTGTCTTCACGTGCTGCTCGCGCGACAGCCCCCAAAGCGGTTGGGTGACCCTGGAACCTTCCTCCTGTGGACCCGGCTCAGAGCGGATCGCAGGGCAGGCAGGCTGCTGGCAGGGACCGAACAGAGCTCTGCGCCAGGCCGGAGGCAACGCCGGTCACTCGCGACCTCGGACTGGGTCCCTGCGCCGCCCAGTCCCCGAGGGTTCGTCCCGCGGCGCTTGCTCCGGG